CTATTTTAATGTTCACATCATTTACTTAAATATTGAAATAGAAGATCTTTAGAGAGAGAGAATAAATTGTAGTTATGTCAATTTAGATTTTACGAAAGCTTATGCTAATTTGAAAAAGCCTACAAATATTTTTTTTAATACAGATATAACTATGGCGCCACCTGATGCGTGCTTGGCATCGCCGTGCGGGCCGCACTCGACGTGCCGCAACGAGGCCGGTCGTGCCGTTTGCGCCTGCGAGGCCGGCACACTCGGCGCACCCCCCTCCTGTCGTCCGCAATGTGTTATTAATCAAGATTGTCCTCTCGCGCTAGCCTGCCTCGGCGGCACTTGTGTCAACCCCTGTGTCGGCTCGTGCGGTTTTAACGCCCGTTGCAATGTACAAAACCACCAACCTATCTGTTCCTGCGAAGAGGGCTACTCGGGTGATCCGTTTGCCGGTTGCAATCAAATTGAAAGTAAGTGCAATTATATTTACGACTTTTTGTACATGTTGCACGATTTGGCACTTTGCATGTTATCAATCTCTGCTTTATTAGATGATAAATGTATGTATGTGTAAACACGGTTTCAGTCTCAAAAGAAGCGCCTCGTCATCCTTGCAACCCGTCGCCTTGTGGACCTAATGCAATCTGTCGAGAAAAGAGTGGTGCTGGTTCATGTACTTGTATAGATGATTTCCATGGAGATCCATACTTAGGCTGTCGCCCAGAGTGTGTTATGAACACTGACTGCGCTGTAGACACATCTTGCTTTAATAATAAATGTGTAGATCCTTGCCCCGGAACGTGTGGGCAAAACGCTGTGTGTCGGGTTTCCAATCATGCACCTTCTTGTTATTGCTTACCTGGATACAGTGGAAACCCTCTTCATGCATGTATTCCTGTTACGAGTAAGACTTTTTCTTCTTTTTTCTATCTATTATTTCATGTTCTTTATTCTATTCTTATATGTTCTATCATGTTTACTTCAGCTTCCCCAGAAACGATTGACCCTTGTCACCCTACACCTTGCGGACCTTATAGTAAATGTCGCACTTTTAACGGACACGCTGTTTGCACGTGTCTTGACATATGTGTCGGTTCACCACCTAATTGCCGACCTGAATGTATCGTTAGTTCTGATTGTCGGCCGAATAAGGCATGTATTAAGCAAAAATGCCAAAACCCGTGCGAGGGAATGTGTGGAGTTAATGCGTTATGCCAAGTTGTTAATCATAATCCGATATGTTCGTGTCAAAAGGATTATACCGGTGATCCTTTCGTTCATTGCTACTACGAAGAAAGTAAGTTTTTTGTTAATATCATATATATAGCATTTCTTGTCATAATCGCGATGTAATTGAAATATTAAAAATATTTATTTTTTACCAGAACAAATGATACCCATTGACAACTGTTCGCCAAATCCTTGTGGCCCACATTCACAATGTAAGGATCAAAACGGAGTACCAGTATGCTCTTGTTTATCTAATTATATTGGTCGACCTCCAAATTGTAGACCCGAATGTGTCATCAGTGTTGAATGTCCCGGAAATTTAGCATGTCTGTCAGAAAAATGTAGCGATCCCTGTCCTGGATCTTGTGGTAATCACGCTAGTTGTGTTGTAATTAAGCACGTGCCTATATGCACTTGTGAACACGGATACACAGGAGATCCATTCGCAGGATGTTCCCCAATATTACGTGAGTGTCAAATTTCTTGACTTCATTCTTATTGATGTAATCACGTAAAATACTTTTTTTATCAGTACAATACTTTTAGCCGTTGAAATTGAACCGGAGAACCCATGCTCGAGATCTCCCTGCGGAGCTAACGCAGTTTGTAAAGAAAGGAATGGCGCGGGCTCATGTTCCTGTCTTTCCGAATATTACGGAGATCCCTACGTGGAATGTCGACCAGAATGCGTTTTAAATTCTGATTGTCCAAAGATCAAAGCTTGTGTTAATAATAAATGCAAAGATCCATGCCCCGGAGTCTGTGGAATGAATGCCGAGTGTAAAGTAAATAACCACGCACCTTCTTGCGCGTGCTTACCAGGATATGAAGGAAATCCATTTACGTCATGTTATCCAAGTGAGAATGTCAATTTATAAGTAATTTATTATTTCTTATAATTAACGCAATATACAAAAACAAATTTAATTTTAGGCGTTGACTACACGATTGATCCGTGTTCGCCCTCACCATGTGGGCCATACAGCTTATGTCGGGTAAGCAGCGGTTACGCAATTTGCTCTTGCCAAGAAGATTACTTCGGTTCGCCACCCTTATGTCGGCCAGAGTGTATGGTCAGTAGCGATTGTATGCCAAATAAGGCGTGCGTGAATCAAAAATGTGTAGACCCCTGTAATGGAGCTTGCGGCAATAATGCTAAGTGCATGGTTGTCAACCATAATGCACTCTGTAGTTGCCCACAAAATTATATCGGTGATCCATTCGTACAATGTACCTATGATAAACGTAAGTGGCAAAAACTAATAAGAGTACTAAAAAAGTAACATAGTTTAAAAACAGTAATAACATAAACTTACTAAAACAAAATAACCTAAATTGACAGAATCAATTTTAAGTACATAAACAAATTTTAGGACCAGAACCAAAACCTTCAGGAAATCCTTGCATACCGTCACCTTGCGGACCTAATTCAAAATGTCGTGTAGTGGGTGAAACGCCAGCATGTTCATGTATGAGCGGCTATATAGGGCGCGCCCCGAACTGCCGCCCGGAATGTATTTATGATGAGGAATGCCCAAGTAACCTGGCCTGTATTCGTGAAAAATGTATGAGTCCATGTGAAGGCTCGTGTGGTTCAAATGCTGAATGTGTAGTTATTTCACATAAAGCAGTTTGTCACTGTCGTGAAAGTTATACCGGTGATCCATTTAACGGTTGTTATTTTGTAGGTGAGTTCATAATATCTTATACGTCTTTACAAAATGTTAAACAGCAAATAGATAAACAGATCAATAATTAAGTACATTTATTTGTTTAGTCGCAATTGAAAACGAGGAAGAGGCGAATCCATGTAATCCATCTCCATGTGGACCGAACGCATTATGCAAAGAAAAGAATTCTGCCGGCTCATGCATTTGCCAGCCGGGATATCACGGAGACCCATATTTAGGATGTCGGCCAGAATGTGTTACTAACAACGACTGTCCGTCTAACAGGGCGTGCGCAAATAACAAATGCGTAGATCCTTGTCAAGGAGCATGTGGAATGAATGCACAGTGTCATGTAGCTCATCATAAGCCTGTGTGTTTGTGTATTAGCGGATTCGAAGGAAATCCAGTTATTTCGTGCCATCCACAAAGGAGTCGTTAGTATATTACGAAATATAAAGTGCTAGATGGTTTTCCTTTTAAAACTTTACACATACTTATTATTGTAATTATATTTTAGCTTCTCTGGCTGACGAGAATCCCTGCGTACCGTCACCTTGTGGTCCTTACAGTCATTGTAAAGTAATAGATAATCATGGAGTATGCTCATGTCAAGAAGGCTATGTAGGTTCACCGCCGACATGTAGACCAGAATGCGTGACTAGCACGGACTGCTCGCAGCATCAAGCGTGTATGCAACAGAAATGCAAGGATCCATGTCCGGGAACATGTGGAGTTAATGCGCGTTGCCAAGTTATAAATCATAATCCTATCTGTACATGTAAATCAGGATTCACTGGTGATCCGTTCGTTACTTGTCAATATGAGAAAAGTAAGATTCAAAAAATAAATAAAACAATATGGACTTTGATTTGTTTTTATAAATTTAATCAAATGCATGCATAATTTCATTTTATTTCTCAATCTATTCAATTTCTTTTTCTATTCTTTTAGTTCTGTGCTCTACTTTGTTTCTAATGTATGATCTTTTTTTCTTAGAACCTATCTTTACGGGACCTAAAGGAAACCCTTGTGTACCTTCACCATGTGGTCCATACTCTCAGTGTAAAGTAGTCGACGAGGCGCCTGCATGTTCTTGCTTACCGAATTATGTTGGTATTGCACCTAATTGTAGACCTGAATGTTCTATCAATGCTGAATGCCCTGGTAATCTTGCATGCCAAAATGAAAAATGTGTAGATCCATGTCCGGGTTCATGCGGTTTCAACGCAGAATGTTCTGTCGCCAATCATGTAGCCTTGTGCAATTGTGTGCCAGGACATACAGGTGATCCATTTAGTGGATGCTCCATTATCGAACGTGAGTGCTCTAAGTGTGTACCTAATAGTAACAAAATAATTGAAAGAGCTGGGTAAGCTCCAATGCGAAATTTATACCATAAAAAATATGTAATAGATAATTTACCTCCATCTTCCAGATAAATAATGACTGTAATACTATGTTTATTATGAGTTGTGGTCGTTCGCGGTTATGGGTATTTATTATATATAGAAACGTGCGTTACAGATATTCCGGAACCACCACCAAATCCCTGTAATCCTTCTCCGTGTGGCGCAAATGCTATTTGTAAAGAACGAAATGGAATCGGCGCATGCTCGTGCTTACCTGAATATTTTGGCGATCCATACACCGGATGTCGACCAGAATGTGTATCAAACTCCGACTGTGACCGCAACAAGGCTTGCACTAACAACAGATGCAAAGATCCATGCCCCGGTACTTGTGGTATAAATGCAGAATGTAGGACTGTCAACCATTCTCCGACGTGTACTTGTCTAACCGGGTATACTGGCAATCCGTTAGTAAGATGTGAAGTGGACAGTGAGTAAACTAACCATTTTTCTTTTATTTAAAGCAATTTGTCATGAACATAATTTCACATAAATGGTTGTTTATTTCAGATGTTGAAATTCCTCAAATCGATCCTTGTCAGCCTTCACCTTGTGGACCTAACAGTTTATGTCGCGCCATTAATGGGCACAGCGTTTGCACATGCGACAGCGGTTATATTGGTACCCCACCATCGTGTCGTCCCGAATGTATTGTTAGTTCGGAATGTCCACAAGACAAGGCTTGTGTGAATAAAAAGTGTACGGATCCTTGCCCGAACACTTGTGGACTTAACGCTAGGTGCCAAGTCATTACTCATAATCCTATTTGCAGCTGCATAACAGGTTACACTGGGGATCCGTTCACTGAATGTGTTGAAGAGCCAAGTAAGTCATTTTCAATATTTGTTCTAGTAAAATAAGAAGATAATAGTATGACTCACTTTTGTCTTCTAATATATCACGTACCTGTATACTTTCCTCTTCTATTCATTTGCGTGTCTATTTATTTTAGGGCAAATAGACCACGTCAATCCTTGTGCTCCTTCACCTTGTGGACCAAACTCAGAGTGTCGAGTTATTAGTGATCAAGCGGCTTGCTCTTGCTTGCCAAACTACATTGGAAGAGTACCAAATTGCAGACCAGAATGCACCATCGATGCTGAATGCCCCAGCAACACCGCTTGTATTAATGAACGTTGCAAGGATCCATGTCAAGGGGCTTGTGGCTTAAATGCCATTTGTTTGACAGTTAATCATAAACCAATCTGCAGTTGTCAACAAGGATATACAGGAGACGCTATCAATACTTGTGTACAAATGATCATAACTAGTAAGTAACTTAAACTACACGTCTTGTTATGTATGCTTTCTAACATACTTTCCAAACACTAATCCAATAAATTTAATTACAGCAACGGAAAGGACAAGTCCTTGCACTCCTTCACCTTGCGGTCCAAATGCTGAGTGCCGTGAACACAACGAAGCCGGAGCGTGCTTCTGTTCCGAAGGTTACGAGGGTGATCCATACAGTCCATCCGGGTGTAGAAGGGAATGTGAAAGTAATGACGACTGTCCGTTAAACTTAGCCTGCACGAGGTTCAAATGTATCGACCCCTGCCCGAAGACGTGCGGTCAATTGGCAGAATGTACTGTAGAAAAACATGTACCAGTTTGCACATGCCCAATTGATCACACTGGTGATCCATTCTTCCGATGCCTTAGAATAGTAACTGAACGTAAGTAACATAGGATTTAAATACTAATTTATATAACTAATTAAATTTACAAAGGACATACTTATTAATAAAATTGTTTATTTTCAGCTCCACCGCTGAATCCCTGTGAGCCCACTCCTTGTGGACCAAATAGTCAATGTAGACAAGTCAATATGCAAGCAGTTTGCTCATGTCTTCCCAATTATATTGGATCACCACCATCATGCAGACCTCAATGCGTAGTCAATAGTGAATGTGACGCCTCTAAAGCTTGCATAAATCAAAAATGTGACGATCCTTGTCCAAATACGTGTGGATTAAAGGCTCATTGTCTTGTCAAAAACCATAACCCAATATGCACGTGCCCGGCTGGCATGACTGGAGATCCATTTACCGTTTGCTTTAGTAAGTAAAAAAAATAAAAATCAACATGGATATTTATACTTATAATCATGGAATATTAATTAATCCTTTCTATTCGTTTCAGATATTCCACCGACAACAGAAAGGCCATCTTGTACCCCATCTCCGTGCGGACCACACTCACGTTGTCAGTTATTAGCAAGCGGACCAGCGTGCTCTTGTTTACCAGGCTATGTAGGTTCTCCTCCATCTTGCCGTCCTGAATGTACAATAAACTCTGAATGCCCAGCATCGTTAGCGTGCGTGCGACAAAAATGTGAAGACCCCTGTCCAGGTTCGTGCGGAGTGGAAGCAAATTGCCACGTATTGAACCATGTCGCAGTGTGCGTTTGTAACGAAGGATTTACGGGTGATCCATTTACAAGATGCACACATATAATTGAAGGTACTTATTATACATTTTTTTAAATGCATATTATTAATTAACGATTAAAACTTATTACAATGTCAACATTTCAGCACCAACAACAACAAGTCCTTCAGATCCATGTAATCCATCTCCTTGTGGACCAAACGCTCATTGTGATAATGGATTCTGTACATGTATACAAGATTACAGCGGCAATCCATACGAGTCATGTCGTCCGGAGTGTACTGGAAGTCAAGAGTGCCCTAGAGACAAAGCCTGTTTTAGAAACAAGTGCAGAGATCCATGCCCTGGTGTGTGCGGGCAGAATGCAAAATGTGACGTTATTAATCATATACCAACCTGTTCTTGCATTAGCGGACATACCGGCAATCCATTTACTCACTGCCAACCGGCAACTCCCATAGAACACGATGAAAATCCATGCCAACCGTCACCGTGCGGACCAAACAGCATATGCAGAATAAATGATAATACAGCAGTATGTGCTTGCGTAGAAGGTTTCCAAGGCTCACCGCCAGCCTGCAGGCCGGAATGTGTTGTAAGCTCTGAATGTCCTGCGACTAAAGCCTGCGTCAATCAAAAGTGTATCAACCCATGCATTAATGCATGCGGTATTTCTGCTCGCTGTGAAGTAATTAATCACAGTCCAATATGCAGTTGTAATCCTGGTCAAACCGGAGATCCATTTAAGAGTTGTTATGATGAAATAATACCGACGAAACCCGTAGACGCTTGTAATCCATCGCCGTGTGGACCGAATTCGCTATGTCTGGAACGTAATGGCAAGGCTAATTGTAGATGCGTAGAAGATTACGTTGGACAGCCTCCAAATTGTCGGCCAGAGTGTGTTATTAATCCTGATTGTCCATCAAACCAAGCTTGCGTTAGAAACAAATGTATCGACCCCTGCCCAGGATCATGTGGCGTTGACGCGGACTGTGTTATAGTCAGCCACACAGTCTCGTGCACATGTAGAGAAAAGTATACCGGAAATCCTTTCTTACAATGTGTGCCCCAAAACGGTAAATGTATATTTTATCGTATATATGTGCCCATAATACGTTGAAAAATCTTTGATTAAGATCATTTCTTTGTGAAAGCTTTCTATTATTCTTATGAAAAGAGACGAAGTTAAGTTTTTTGTTTTTTTTTTTTACAGAAGCAGTCGAGAAACCATGTGATCCATCACCGTGTGGCGCGAATGCAATTTGCACTCAAAGAGACAATGCTGGGGCATGTTCTTGCTTAGAAGGTTTTTACGGAAACCCCTACGATGGCTGTCGTCCAGAGTGCGTTCTTAGTTCTGATTGTTCGGCTGATAAAGCCTGCATTAAAAATAAATGCACAGATCCATGCCCCGGTATTTGCGGATCAAATGCGGAATGTGCAGTAATCAATCACGTTCCATCGTGTGCTTGTGTAAAAGGTTACTCAGGCAATCCATTCGTGCAATGCAGTCCCCACAAACCGACACAAGAAGTTCGACCATGTGATCCATCACCTTGTGGACCTAATAGTATATGTCGTGAGAATGGTGAACTTGCGTCTTGCGAATGTCTACCTGATTACCGAGGGGCTCCTCCTGATTGCCGACCGGAATGCACAGTGAGCAGTGAATGTCCTTCCGATCGTGCGTGCCATAAACTTAAATGTGCGGACCCTTGCAGAGGCACTTGTGGCATTGGCGCTCATTGTCAAGTTATAAATCATAGTCCACTATGTAGCTGTCCTGCCGGCACCAGCGGTGATCCATTTAGCAAGTGCTTAGAAATAGAAAAAAGCGTAGTAGAAAAAGATCAACCATGTAAATCAAACATATGCGGTCCCTATAGCGAATGTAGACCGATCAATGGTCAACCTTCATGTTCGTGCTTATTTGGTTATTTAGGCGCTCCTCCGAATTGTCATCCGGAATGCCTGGTCAATACAGATTGTCCGTCTCAGTTAGCTTGCATAGCAGAGAAGTGCACCAATCCCTGCGAAGGCTCCTGTGGGTACCGAGCGGAATGCCGCGTTCATGATCACATCCCGATATGCAGCTGCCCCACGGGCTATTCCGGCGATCCATTCATACAATGTGCAGAAATGAAAAGTAAGAAAATTAATTTACTTTTGTATTTAATTATTTCCCTTTGTTTTCGCTTTTAAAAATATTTTTAGCATTATCGCTTGTATGTTAAATATTTGAATTCGGAAACTATCGGACACTAAAACCAACTCTTAATTTTGATTTCACACAGTTCGCTTATGTTAAGCACCTGCTGATGTACATATATGAACTTAGTTGTATCCATGTTAAAACAAATTTATATTATGAATTGTCTTATAATTTCCAGATGAAGAATTGCCGCCTCAAAATCCGTGCAACCCATCGCCATGCGGAAGTAACTCACTGTGTGAAGACGGAGTTTGCACATGTGCTCCCGGTTATTTTGGAGATCCGTACCAAGGCTGCAGACTGGAATGTAGTACTAACGGCGAATGTTCACCTACCCGCTCATGCCAAGGAGGAAAATGTGTCGACCCATGTCCCGGTGCTTGTGGAACAAATGCAGTCTGTTCTGTGAACAATCATATACCATCATGTTCATGCCCACCTAGTATGTCTGGTGATCCATTCTCGTTCTGCACTGAAGTAGCTCCACCAGGTAAGCAATTTTTTGCTTTGATCTTTTACATTCTTCACGTGATT